TTTTTTTTTTTTGGTGGTGGAACCAGGGATTGAACTCAGGCTCTTGCACTTGCCAGGCAAGCACTTATTCTACTGAGCCATCTCCCCAGCCCTATAATGATTTTCTATCATAAACCTGTATCTGAGGAGTTTAGGGGAGTTTTCTGATATCAATCCTACTGACAAAACAATGAGTTGAACAAAAGAGAACAGGGTTTGTGGTTTGCCCCAGCAATTTAAGGACTTAAGTTGGGGATTGTGGAAGGGTGTGTAAATACATTACCGTGCATTTTTAAAATTTAAACAGAAAGATTCATATGGCAAAAATTGAATTTTAATTATGTTAAAATCAGTCTTAGAAGTTGAAAGCATGAAGAACTATCTTTATTCCCAGTGTAAGAAAGTACTTTCTGATGGTAAGTACAGTCCATAAGTTAAAAGTATCATCATGTAGAAAAGGTTATCCACCATTAGATACTGTTTGAGGGGCCAGTGAGATAGCTCGGTGGATTAAGCGCTTACTTAGGCAAGTGTAGGGACTGTGGTTTGATCCCTGGCACCACATGGTGTGCTAGAGCTGGCCAGAGTCCAGGTGTAGTGGCATATACCTGTAACCCCAGCACTGGGGAGGCTGAAAGCAGGAGGATCACTAGGAGTCTGAGCTATGCAGTGAGGTTCTGTAACAACAAAATTAAAAAAAAAAGAAAAAAAAGAAAAAAAGAAACTTTTGAACTAAAGCCTGGACTTATGACCTAACACTTTAGGTGCTCAATAACATGTGTTTAATGGCTACTGTATTAGAACACACAGTTATAGCACATGCCATTAATGAAATCATTAAATTTCTAGGAGAAAAAAAAAAACTTACATAAATGCATAAAAAGTTCCTAAAATTAAGACTTTCTGTCATCCTTGAAAAATAGAAGTCACAGAGGAAAATTTAACCACAAGATAAAAGATCAATTAGGATTTCCCTACACATGAGGCTTTCACCTAGTTTTAAGCTAGGTTTCATATTCATGTTAGGAGCTAGAGTTCAAGCTTTCTGTGCATGCGTTCCACACTTTGTATTGATAGTGTCTTTCTACCTCTTATCAGATTTCTCCTAGAACATCTGCATTCATCTTTAACTTGCTGGTTCTACTGTTTTCTTCCCACAAGAGCCAGATTCCAAAAGTATCATGTATCATATCTGTGTGGAGTTTCTTTTGGGAAGGATCTAGCAAAGGCCATTTCTCTACTGTGATGTTCAGTCACATCCTCAAAGTCACTCAGGCTTAACCAGATTTCTCTCAGCATGACACACAGGTTCCTGACTTTGGTGCCATGACAGAGGAAAACATTCCTCCCTGTGGAAGTGATATAAAATCTGAGCTTAACTTTCTACATCTATAAAACATGGATGATTCTCATGTGGAGGAAAGTATCTAGTACATAGTATATTCTTCATAAATATTGTCTGCATACATATGCTTGATTTCAATAGACAGTATGCTATTATGAATGAATTAAGATAACATTCAGGGTAGTTGCCCTAATCATAAACTCACATTCCAGGATGGTGACTAGTGGTTGTATCAGGCAATCTTTTTTTTTTTTTTTTTTTTTTTGCAGAACCGGTTGCCAGGCAAGCACTTATTCTACTGAGCTAACTCCCTGGCCATAAGGCAATCTTATCTTAATGCCAATGATCACTCTATTTTAAACACAGTATGTCAAAAATGAATTTTTATTGTTGAAATTAATGGTTAGTCTTCATAACAGAGAATGAATGTGGTGTATTCATTTCTTCCTTCTCAAATGTTATATTAAAAGGGAGCGACTTATTCAGTAAGCAAAATTTTATAGTAAATTTTAAGCAATACATTGTGGCTACTTTGAATTTTTTTGTAGCTTCAGAATTATTTCTCCAAATAAAGATACAAGTGTACAGACTTGAATATTTAAAAACTAGGTATACACATATACACAAAAACAAAATACAACAGTCTCATGAAATCAAACCACCATTAATAGAAATGTCTTGATTATGCCCATAGTTCTCTCTCCTTCCTTCCCCCAATACAATTTTATCAGTTAAAGGCATAAGAAGCCATCAGCTATTTCAGGCTCTTAAAGAGTCATAAGCTCTGTATTCCATTAATTTGGTGCTGGCACTGTTCCTATAAGATGGCAATCATGGTAGTTTTCACTGAGGGAGAATATTTTGCAAGTCTATGAATTAAATACCACTGTGTATCATACACTGTATTCCATCAATGCAACTTATAGTACACAAAAATATTAAAAAACATCCCATAACAAAGCATATGTGTCTCATCATGTATAATTTGGTGAAAGAAAAAGCCTGATAAGGTGATTTTTTTTAAAGTAGGCTAAAAATATAACTCCTGAAAAATAAAGGTACTTTATTAAGGTTGTGGTATCAGTATTCCCCTAAGCCATGATCAAAAACCAGTCTAAGTACTTCTTGAAAACAGCAGTCCAGTTAGTAAATGAACTCTAACAGAGAAACTCTTTTCTCTATTTACAACTATTCACTAACTAGATATAGAAACTCAAGTTAAGCTAGCTGGCCCCTCTGGCAACAAGAAAGGATTTAGTCCAGCATGCTATTTGTTTATGTCAATTATCATTATTTAATACTGATTTATGGTTATGCTTTCTGATCAAGAGACAGAATGATGAATACTACTTCTTATGAAAAATTTCAAGCCATGGAATCCCTCTGAAAATAAATACTCCAAATATGAGTGCCATTTCTTCTCCCGAATAGAGCTTATGTTCATTGTCCTTTCTTCTGGGCTTTCCTGTAGCAAAAAGAAAGCAGCATAGCTCAATAGAGAAGGGTGATGGACTAAATTTAAGCTGTTTTTATATTTTGTTACTCCAGTTTTTTCTAGGATTTTGGGGTCAATATACATTCCTTTCTCGAAGGGTTTTGATGTCCACAGGCAACCAATCATGGCTGTCAAATAGTGATTAAACTGTTGAAAAGTCTTGGTGCTGAAACTGAACTCTGATTTTGTCTTTTGTACTAATTCATTCTTCTTTGCAGCAATCAAATTTTTATGATACCTGTGCATAATAAAGGAAAGCTGGTTCAAAGTACTGGCATCCAGGCTGAGAAGTGAAGAATAGAAGACCCCAGGAGGAAACAACACCACTAACGGAAGGTCATAGTTTACATATATATCACATACCTTCTCATAGAAATCCAAAATAAAGTGTAGCAAGAAAGGACTGTTGCTCTCCAAGCGCATTGCAGCAGTGGACAGCCATCCTACATAGTGGATCAGTTTAGCTACTGAGTTCATGGATGCACCCAAAGTGGTCTCCAGAGGACTGCTCATCACAGGCTTCTTGTGGATGTCCACAGAGAGCCATAACAGCCAATTCTGTAGTAGCTCTTTCAGGGTCTGAAGAACACTACACTTGAAATAAATGGTTGATGTAAAGAAAAGCTGTGCTAAGTGGTCAAAAAGTAGTGGCTTCATCTCAGAGAAGCTACTAAAAGGAATCCAGCTCATAAGTTGAAGGAACTGTGACCGACAACAGAGGCCATCCCAAAGAGGAATGCTCTTATACACGAAAACTTCACAGGAATAAAACCCCTCTTGTAAGAAGCATTCCGCCCTGATGACGGTGTCTAGCAAGTTGGTAAACTCTTTTCTCTGTTCATAACTGTTCACGTTATACCAAATACATTCTTCTTGTAATGTCTGACTCAACCAGTGGTACAGCCTCAGTAAGAGTGATTCATCTCTGACACAGTTAATGTAGTGTAGTAGCAGAGAGCTGTGTAGCACTGAGCCCATCTGAGAGGGCAGCTCTAAGCAATGAATATTTTGTAAGAGTAGAGGGAAGCTCTGAAGCCTTTCTGGGGGAAGTAATCTATCACAACTGAGACACTCAGAAAGACTCATCTCCTTCTTTCCCCATTCTTTAGTGCAGCTACCAGAATTCAGCACTGGTATAACTGAACGAGAATTCCATTTTCTTTTTAAAGGATTGAAATTAGCTGGATTTAAAGTCAGTTTTAGGGGCTCTGAAAAAGGGCTCTGGTTTCTAAGTCTCACAGCAAGCACAGCTGAATTCCACAGAGCCTTTGAATTCTTAAAGTAGACCTTCTTCCTCATAGGTAAAGACACAGAAATCAAAGTAGGAGCAAAGAACTTATACAGTGACAACAAAGCTTGGAGATGTGGTTGCAGTCCCATTTTGGCCTGAAGATCAAGTAGTTTTCTCACACGGAATGGTTTAACATTTTCTTTTTTGGTAAGTAAATATAACAAATGGCAAGCATAAGGACAGAGTGCATCATCTTGCAATGAAGCAAAAAAGAAGCCATAAAGCAAGTTAATTTGTTCCTTATGATCAATGAAGTCAAACATTGCAACCAGCCACTGATAAAATAGTACCTTGGTGCTACCAGAGCACTTTCCAGCACAGAGCCAGGAGACCGCCTTAATTACAGAATCTTCTGAAATTAAATTTGTTGGAATCATACACTTCAATAGCCGTGTGTTTACAGCATTTCCAAATTTGCCACCGAGTGCCACATTCAATAAAACATCTATTGCTTCTGGAGCTAATCCATTTTTCCAAGCCACAGTTTCCACCATTTTCAAGTGTTTTTCCAAAATTTTATCTTTCTTGGATGAAGTTTTAATGGGACCTTTCTCAAAGTATTGCAGTGCTATTTGCAGTGTGTCTTCAGCTTGAACATCCATATATTCATGAGCTTCCACTGGATTTTGTTTCAAGATGGTCTTTGAGTCACTAGGTTTCTGTTTTACTTTCCAGGCTGACAGACTGGTTTGAAAAGTATTCTTAACTTGTAAAGTTCTACTTTGTGTCTCAGGGGTCTCACCCCTCTTTTGAGGCAACATTATTGCATATGTTGTTCACCCTTTTAGGCCCAGCAACTTTCAGAGTCTAAAAGCTATCTTCAGGATTCAAACACGGAGTTCTCACTGACAGTATTATTGATTCCCAAGATACGTGGACAGGCTAAAATATTTTAGAGACTCTCCCATCCTTGTATGAATAAGTAGCAAAGAGCTGGACTATCATGAATGGTATATGGCTGGAAGACTTTCAGCTGGCTGATGTTTACTACAAGGATAGAATTCTGGCTCTTTAATATTCTATTTGCTCCAGTGAACTTTCATTCAAAGTCATGGTTGCAGAATCTAAAGGATAGAGAGTTGAGATTTAATCAAATTCAGAATAGGTGTAACACAGTACCTTGTTTGTGCTTGTTAACAAATGTTTAATAAACATGTGACAAAAATTAGCACAACATTGGTTTGTTAACTTGTTATGAAGTGGTTAAGAGACAGTTTTTATTCATCTATAACTGTTAACTAAAAAGAAACATGACTAACAGTTATTCGTATGTGGAACCTCTGGTCTTTTTTTTTTTTTTCTTCCTATAAATGAAACTGAAAAGAATTTACTTTTGGTGTAGTCATACCATATCCCGGTAGGTCTACCAGCCTCCTATGTAAACTGCATTCAAGACACCGAGAGCAGCTCTAGGATTATATAGAGGAAGAACTATAGTAGACGGCAAAAATATGCAGTCAGCATTCTTAGTCAAACTGGGGGTTAGCTGATCACGACCTTAAGTCTTCCTACAGTAACAGGATCATGCTACTACCAGGGAGGATGACTACCTGAAAGGCATGCAGTCCTTAAGAACTTGAGATACATGGGGAAGAGAAATGACTCAAAAAATAGGCCAAAAGAGAGAGAGTTACTTGGGTCAATGACAGGGTCCTCCTTCATGTTTAAGGTAGACACCAGAGACCTTAGGCACCACTTTGGTGGTCTGAAATAGTGTATCATAAAAGTTACTGGGTGTGGTTGGGGTATATATGCCTATAATCTCAGCACTCTAGGAAGCTGAGGCAGGAGGATTGCAAATTCAAGCCCATGCTGGAGAATCCAGTCATTTAGCAAAGACTGTTTCAAAACTAAAAATAGAAATGGATGGGATGTAGCTTTGTGCAAATGCCCTTGGTTCAATCCCAGTAACACTAAAAACAAAAGAAACCAAAACAACCAACCTCCCCACAAAAGTAAAAGCTGGTGGTTCATAATCTGTTATGATGTCCCTGTAAATCTTAAAAATAATCTGACTTTTCTCTTGATGCCTTTTGTGTGGAAGGACAGCAGAAAGACTGGATTAAATTAGGGCTAATCAAACTTGTATTATCGGTTTTAGATGAACACTTCTTAGATGATTACCACATCTATATGCAGAGTTGGGCAGGAATGTGACTGCAAGTTTAAGGAGTCAGAAACAGTAAGGCAGAAATGGCAAACTCATCTTGCTTGTAGTTACCCATCAGAAACCTGAAGGCCCAAATGGAATCAGCCCCTCAACAACAGCAGCTTGTAAATTGCAATTATAATGTCTCTATTTCCTCTTCATTTATGCAAGACATTTTTGCTGGATGAAGACTACTTTTTTCTTTTTTGATGATACCAGGGATCAAACTCAGGACTTTGTGCCTGCAAGGCAGGTGCTTATGCCACTGAGGTATCTCCCCAGTAATAGACTATTCTTTTCAGTGCCTGAAATATTTTTTGTTGCTTTCTTCTGGTCCTCATGGTCTTTCCCTGTAGATAATGTCATTTCTGAGTAGCTTTAAAGACTCTGTTTATTTTTCAGAAGTCTGATCATGGTTTGCTTTAACGTGAATTTCTCTGGGTTTATCCCATTTGAGGTTCACCATACTTTTTCCATATTTAAGTGCATGATTTTTATCACTTTTTGGAAATTTTGGTCATTATTTCTTAAAAAAATGTTTCATCTCACCCTTCTCTCTGCTTCTGGGATTCTGAGGGCAAAAATACGAACTTTTAAAAAAAAAAATGGTCCTACCAGTCTCTACAGCACTACATAATTTAAATTTTTTTTTTTAATTTAAATGTCTCAGTCAGGGAGATAACTCAGTGGCATCCGCATCTGCCTTGCAAGCGCAAGGTCCTGAGTTCCATCTCTGGTAACGTTAAAAAAAAAAAAAAAAAAAAAGATAAGAAAAGAAAGGAAAAGAAAAGCTCTCACTAAGTTGCCCCCAGGTTGGCCCTGAACTGTCAGTCCTCCTGCTTGGCCTAAAAAAAAAAAAAAAAAGATAAGAAAAGAAAGGAAAAGAAAAGCTCTCACTAAGTTGCCCCCAGGTTGGCCCTGAACTGTCAGTCCTCCTGCTTGGCCTCTTGAGTATCTGGGACCACATGCATTATTTTATTTTATTTATTTTTGGGTGGTACTGGGGATTGAACTCAGGACCCTGCGCTTGCCAGGCAAGCGCTTATTCTACTGAACTATCTCCCCAGCACCCCCCACATGCATTATTATGTGTGTGTGTGGGGGTGCTAGGGAGATAGTTCAGAGGTGAGGCACCACTCCAGTGAGGACTGCTTCAGGCTTCAAAATTCAGGGGTAGATAGGGACACCTCTGAGAATACAACACTGCTGTCAGGTGCAGGCACAGACCAGGGAAGTTATACCAGGATGACTTAGCAGCAGACAACTGCCCATGTGTTAGGTCAGCCAATATGCAAGAATGTAAATGTGCGACAAGCACCTGCATAAGTTTGTTAAACAATAAACAGGCTGCTCTCTTGGTGCTTCCTGCCTTTGGAGCTGACATCTGCCCTGCGTGCATTCTTTCTCCTGTGGATCTCACCGACCAAAGTGCAGTGCCTCTTCAGGTGCCCAGTGATGCCACCTGATCTGTTCATCTTTTTTTTTCTTTTTTTAAATGTATTTGGTACAGCTTCTCACTACACAGCTTGGACTCTATAGTGACCTTCCTATTTTCAGCCTTCTCAGTGCTGGAATTATAGGTGTGAGCCACCACACCCCGCCTTGTGGCTGGCTTAGCACACCTGGAGGGGGGGCTGGTGTGGCACGTGGTGCTGGGGACCGAACTCCAGTCCCTGTGCTTGCCTAAGCAGGCGCTTAGTCTGCTGAGCTATCTCGCTGGTCCTTTCATCTATCTTTTCTGGGCAATTTTTTTTAATGGGAACTGAACTCAGGCATTATGCTTATCAGGCAGGCTCTGTGCTGAGCTCTATTCCTGGCCCAGCAATATTCTTCCTATTGTTGTTATATCTGCAAACTCAGTGATGCTTTCCATTGTTAACTGTTTAGTTATGTACCTGTTTATCAAGCATTTCAATTCTGATTATTGTATTTTTTGATGGAAAATTTTTATTTGGTGATAATTATGATTCCTTATTTCCTTGCCAAGACTTGATATTTTTCACTTGTTTTAAAAGTATTTGTAATTTGTTGAAGAAATTTTACGACTGCTTTAAGATTCTTGTCAATTTAATGTTTTTTCAGTGTTGGCATTTGCTTATTATTCCACTTAGTTTGGCATCTGCCTGGTTCTTAGTACGACAAATGATTTTCAATTGGAACACAGATATTTTATATAAGATGCAGAACCTTGTTTAAATCTTGTGATTTAGCACCCTCATCTGACACTAATCTAGAGGATAGAGGGGCTTGCACTTGATTCCTTCCAGGTGGTGTGGAAGTCCAGTTTCTCTACTCACTTTCATTAGATACTAGGGGAAGGAGGATATAATTACAGCTGGGAGGGGGGAGAGGGGTAGGCTGAAGTCCACAGTGGCCAATGGACAGGAACAAGAGGTCATCAAAGTCTTCACTCCATTAAGCTTTATCTCATATTCCCTGGCAAAGAAAAGGAAAAGACCAAAAAACAAAAACAAAAACAAAAACAAAAACAAACAAACAAACAAAAAAAAACACCAAAAAACCCGAAAAAAACAAAAAACCAACAACAACAACCAAAAAACTATGGAGTTTAACATAAAAAGGTAAAGAAAAAAAAAAAGAAAAGGAAAAGACAAATGCTTCTTTACCACCAGCCGAGTTAGAGCTCTGGTTCCAGCTTGGTCTCAGCTAATGCCATTTGGGAAGAGGTGCTTATCAACAACAGGGATGAAAAACATGGCTCTCCATTTTGCCTTCTTTATCTACAGGGAAGGGAGGGTTAGTTTCCTTAAGTTTGGTAAAGGTAGAGGTCAACATACCTTTCATTCAGTGCATATGTGTTCCTGGAACAGAGTGATTACCGTATCAAATTTTTCAGTCTTGCATGCTTGTACTAGACAAGGCAGACTTTCCTTGGGGCTTTCTGTGTCCATTGCTATTTCCAGTGAACAGTTTAGGATAGTTCGTGGAGGTTTCAGTTCACAGTTTGCTACCTTCAAGGTAGTAGGGCATGACAGAAGGAGATTTTTTTTCCTTTGGTTGTACTGAAGACTGAACCCAAGGCCAATTCCCTGAGCTACATCTCCAGGCCTTTTATATTTAGGTCTCACTAAAATCACTAAGTTATCCACAATGAGTTTGAAATTTCAATCTTACCACAGCCTCACACAGTGCTGGAATTATAGGTGTGTGCCATATACATTGAGGAAAAAACCCCCTGAAAACTAGATCTTAGAGAAACTGACTTGCATAGATTGGCAAATGGATGATCTAGGGCTAGGACTTATATCCTCTTATTAAAAGTAATACAAAGAGGTAATATAACACTCAGAAGTAATACAAAGTATGTTCACATATACCCAAAAGGGGGAAATGATGTGAAATGATATGGAGAAAAAAATCGGAAAAATGTCACTAGACACTAGGGTAGGAAATACTCATAACCCCAAAAGACGTTACCTTTTCATGTCCAAAGTGACCATGCTTACCTCACTGGTGATCTCTAGAAAAATACAGTGAACTTTAAGAGGGCAGTGTTAATCAACACTATATTTCTCAAAAGTTTTAAGTATGATCTTGCAATTGGAGGTTATGCCTTCATTGTAAAACATCACAAGGAGATTAGTCTGAAAAAAAAAAAAAAAAA